GACATTTTGATGCAAGGAATGTGATGGCAAGTCTCTTGGGAAGGGAACAAGAGTCTTCCTCAGGAAAGATGCCCTCACTCCCAGGGATTGCTGGGAGTGCTGAATACATTTCCCAGGCTCCCTTGCAACTCCACATGACCAGGTGCTGAAGCTGTGGTGGGCTGGAGTGAAACCTAAGGCTTCCAAGTCTGGGTCTCCCCAACCCCTGATACTCTCTCCCCATTGACTGCATGGAATAAAGATCACAGACAGGGTGACCTTAAGCAATAGGCTGCAGGCTCAGCCTGAGGTCCCAGAAGGTAAAGAGGACATGGCCTCCCACCCAGAATTGTTACTGGAGCAAGAACTCTATGTGCATCATGTGGGGGTTATTTGTTATATTCTCTGTGCTACAGGAGCTAGGGTTACCCTCACTAATGTATCTTCCTTGAAAGTAAAAAAAAAAAAAAAAAAAAAAAAAAATTCATGTAGCTTTTCCCCTTCAAACCTTTAACAGTTACATTTGCTGTCTTGGTACTGTGTTACCAAAGCTATCCTTGCAACTGAGTTCTTGGTTTCTCTGGAGAGAACTCCTGACCAGTTTTCTGGTGTTCTTGTATTCTTTCACATTGGGATTCATTATTTCTGTTTTGTTTTTGTTTTGCTTTGTTTTGTTCTGACAAAGTGAGTCAGAGCTCAGACTAGATTTTTCAGGAAGGCTATGTGAGTTAGAATTCCTTCATGTGTGAGAACATAGCTCTGATGCCTTCTTAGATCAACTCATGCCGTGTGCATAACACATCTGGGAAAGGTGCCTGTCTCCATCCCTCCTCCAGCTGTCTGTGGACATGTGCCCTCTGTGGGTGACGTAACTCAGTAACTCAGGGTCAGCTTGTCTCACCCAGGGTCCTGGTAGGGGCCAGGTGATGCACTACAACAGAAAAAAAAAAAAAAGGTCAGTGTCCTACCCAGAGGCTCTTGTGCCCTTGGCATCACTGCTACATGGCAATGGCTACTTACTGCTAATGCCTCAGCCTCAATATCTATCTATCTATCTATCTATCTATCTATCTATCTATCTATCTCTCCCCTCAGGTGTTAACCAGCTGTGCAAGTGAGCTTAGCCAGTTATGCTGATCTCACTGAAAGTGCCAGGAAGTCAGTGTCCTGGAAGCAGTCCTAGAAATACAGAGCAGGCCTGGGGGTGGAGCTCAAGGGTGGAGCCCTTGCCCAACATGTGGAGGTCCTGGGTTCAATCCCCAGCACTACACAAAGCAAATACCAGAGTGGGTGGATAAGCCCGCAGCTTCCTGGCCCCTCAGTTGGGGTAACTCAGACACATTGTCCATCATCTCCCAGACTGACTGGGGCCTTGAGCTCCAGAGCAGAGGTAGTAACCTGCCCACACTGGCTTCCCCCACTCCCTGTCTTATTCCTGCTCTATCCCTCCTGTTTGTCCTGGGATTTCTTCCCAGGTAAACCATTTGCATTCCAAGCTATTTCAGCCTCTGCTTCTGGGGAAATCCTACTCCAGAGAACAGACTTCAGGGAAAGAACAGGTCATACAGTTACTGGGGGCTATTTAGAAAGGAAAGAAGGAAGGAAGGAAGGAAGGAAGGAAGGAAGGAAGGAAGGAAGGAAGAAACTTTACCCTTGGAGAAAGGGCAGGAGGGGACCTGGAAAGGGAGGGGACTGTATGGAGAGGAAGGCCTGCCATCAGCCAGAGCCATGCCAAGCCATGACCACCCCCATGACTGCAGGGAGGGAGAGAGAATAAACACCTGGCTTCTGCCTCCCTCTCGCCCAATCTGCCTGTGCCCATCATTGACCAAATAAAACCAGAAGCCAGAGGCAAGGGGGCCTGTGGTGTTACCCACAGTGCAAGGCTGGGGGCACAGACCTGTGGCAAAAGGTAGAGTGCGCCTGGAGGACACCCAGGGGGACCTCAGCACACAGACTCTGCTTTCCTGGGTATCTAGTCTGCCCAGAAAGCAGAATTCCAGTAGCCTAGGATCTGGGAAAAGGGTTTTTCCAGGTTTTAGGATGAAATTGCCCCCCTCACCCCCAACATTCTAGCTCAAAAGAACAACCCTCTCACTAGCTATCACAATTGTGTAGGCCAGGAGTTGGGGCTGGGCTCGGCTGGGTACTTCTATTCTTCATGGTATTGACTAAAGTCAGGCTTCCAGCTCATCTGGAGGGTCCAGCATGGCATCAGGAACATATCCAACTTCCGGGTGGGCTTGACTTAAGGGCAGGGCTCAGCAGGTCTGTGAACTGGAGTGGCTGAATGTGGGCTCTCTAGCAAGATGACGGTCCCTTCTAGCAGCTCAGGTCTTCCAGAAAGAATGTAAAATGGAATTAATAATCCCAGTGGAATTAAAGACTTCTTACAACCTAGACTCCATGTTCAGGGATATTGCTTCTGCCATGTTCTATCAGACGGTGAGTCACTCGAGCCAGCCAAGGTGCCAGAGGAAGGAAATTAGACTCAACCTCGCACTGAGGGGAACAGCAAAGAACTCCCTTTAACTAACTGCAAGTCATCCAGGTTGACCAGGGTTTTAGGAACATGCCAGGAAGCTGTGGGACTGATTTTGGAGAGATACTTGAATGTCACGACAGGATGAGGAGATGATGATTAGGTGGAGATTCTAGAGTTAAATTCAAATTCAAATCCCAGTTCTGCATTCTACTTACAATGTATGAGCCAGGCATGTTGTTCCCTCTGACTCAGTGTCCTTACCTGTATAATGAAAACAGTTCCTGCTTTGCAGGGCATCTGGACAGATTAAATGGGATGGTTTGGATAAAGGACTTCCTAGGGTAGCTGGGGCCAAGGGCATTATCAGCATGGCAGCATAAATATTTATCCTGAATTATACCGAGAGATCTTCACAAAGTGACTCTGGAGCTTTGACAATATATAGAAAGGATTACTTTAGATCCTCTCTCTCATTCCCATATACAATCCAGCCCCAGGTCCAGCTAATTTTCCTTCTCCTTCTTCTTCCAGAAGATTGAACTCAGGGGCACTGGACCACTGAGCCACACCCCCAGCCCTATTTTGTATTTTATTTAAAGACAGGGTCTCACTGAGTTGCTTAGCACCTCACTTTTGCCGAGGCTGGCTTTGAACTCGCTATCCTCCTGCCTCAGCCTCCCAAGGCGCTGAAATTATAGGCCTGCGCCACCACGTTTGGCCCAGGCCCAGCTAATTTTGCTTGAACATATGTAGCTTGAGTCTCCCGTCTTCCCTACTGTCACCACCATCTTCCACCCAGACCACAGCTGTTGCTCCTTTCTGGTCTTGGACTCTTAACTGAACTCCAACAATGAATTCTTCCCTTCATGGAAGGGCACTCAGTCTTCTTAACCTGTGCCGTGGACACAGAATGCCTGGGGGATCTTGTTAAAATACACATTCTGATAGTGGCTCCATAAATCTAGAATGGGGTCTGAGATTGTCCATTTATTTTCTTTTCATTTTTTTCCCCAGTACTGGAGATTGAACCCAGGAGCACTCTACCCTGAGTTGTATCCAACCCCTTTCTATTTGTTTAGTTTGAGACAGGATCTAAGTTGCTGAAGCTGGCCTTCAACTTGCAATCCTCCTGCCTCAGCCTTCCCATGCACTAACTATGCCTGACTCTGAGAGTGTCCCTTCCTACCCAGCTCCCCTGGGATGGTGATGCTGATGGTTCCCAGGCCACACTTTGAGCAGCTGGCGAAATCCACCCCCCCAAATAAAAGCTTGATCCTGGCTTGCAAACACTTAAAACCCTTCATGGATTCCCTAGCACTCTCGGGGGAAAGACGAAACCTTACTGTGTCCCACAGGCCCCTCATGATCTATTTTGCACCTGACTCTGTAGTCCATACCCTCCCACACTCTTTCCCCCTTATTTATGAATTCGCTAATTTATTTATCTACCATTTTGAAGCAAAACCAGCATCCCACCCCAGACTGGAATACTACCAATAACTTGAGCAGCCCTTTGTGCTCCACTCCTGAGATAGTGTTCTTCTAATATTTATGTTTATCTTTCCTTTGCTTTATATTTTTCCTTACTGATGAGTGTATCTAAATATGCATATTTTGGGTCTTGCTCTTATTTATTCTAAAAATTGCACCATAGTGTGTGTAGTTTTCGGGATTTTTTTTTTTTAACTCACATTATCTATCAGTAGATGTCTGTTTTTCTCTTGCTTTTGTTTTGTTTTTTAAACAGGGATTTGCCTAGACTAGCCTCCAACTTGCAATCCTCCTGCCTCAGACTCCAGACTCACTGGAGTCATAGGTGAGCTCAACCACACCCAGCTACCAGATGCCCCTGGTGGGGTCTGTGGCTGAAATGCATTCAGTTTCACTGCTGTAAAGGAGGCCACGGTGTGGATATTTCCAGTTGATTTGCTCATCCTCCTGTGAATGGGCCTTAGGGTGCCTCCATTACAGTCAGTGAGGGTGTGAACGTTTGGTACAGGTCTCTGTCTGGGCAGGTTTCTCCGGGTAATTGCTCAGACTTACTGTGTCCTGGTCCCCTGGGGTCTCCAGCCACCCTGGGTTTTCTTTCATCCCCGACGCCCTGGAGGCTTCTCCACCGTGACCCCTCCATTGGAGCTCTCTAATCACACAGTTCTGTCCAGAGATTCTGCAGCGAGCTTGGATCTAGCACGTAGACCCAAGCCTCCAAGGCTTCCGAAGCTCACCGGTCCCCTCACCCCACCGACCCCCCCAACCTGGCCGCCTCTAGCTGTGGCCTGCACACAGTAGGCGCCCAGGCAGCAGCGGAAGTGTGGATTATTGTTGGAGGCGCCGGGAAGGAGGCAGAGCCCGGCTAGGCGGCTGCCACCGAGCCCACAAGTGGCTCTGCAGGAGTTTTCGGGTCGGTGACAGCCCACCAGAACGCGGGGTCCGGAATACCAGGAAATGCGCGGGCGCGGCGGCGGTGAGGCAGGGGCTCCGGGGAGGAGCGGGGCAGGGTGGGGCGGGGCCTGGGAGCGGGCGGGGCGGGGCCGGGCCCGGTAAAGAGCAGCGTGGCGGGCAGCGGCTGTGAGGGCCACCGGGAAGGGGACCTGCCACTGAGCCAGAGGAAACCCACCGGCCTTCGGCGGAAGGAGCAGCGCCGGGACGCACGCTTGGCACCATGACCCAGAGGCCCACCTTCGACAAGCCCAAAGTGAGCGCGGGCCGGGGCTCCGGGTTCGGGTCTGGCTCCCGATCTGTCCCGGGGTTTAGGGGGCCCAGCCGCAGGCGTGCTCACCCCACAAGCACCCCGGAGCTCTTGCGGGAGCTTTCTTTCCTAGGATCAAGTCTCGGCTCGCCTCCGGGTGTTCAATGGGCGGCAATGAGGCAGGGAGCGTCCAGGACCCGCGGGCGTCCCTGGCCCGCCTGCGGTTCTGCTTCTGCCCCTGACTTGTTCTCTGGTCTCAGCCTCCCCGTCTGCCAAATGCGCGTCTCGCGTCGCAGCACTGAGCAGCTGTGTGAACGTAGGCAGGGGCTTGGCGTCTCTGAATCTCAGCGTTATCGAAGTCCTGAGGTCTATGTCTGTAGGCACCTAGCTTTGAGCCAGGGCGCACTGAGGATCAAAGCAGCAGTGAACTTTATAATGGCTTTCCCCGCGCCAAGGAGCCCAGGTTTGTGGATGCCCCCATGGGATGAACCCTGAGCCCAGCCAGGAAGGGGAGGGAAGCGAGCGCGGCGCGCCCCTTCCTATGCTGAGGCCAAGGGACTGAGGAACCTGGGCTTCGGGCTGCAGTAGGATTCACTGGGGCCAGGACAGGGCCCCTGGCCCCAAGGGAGAGCCCCTGCTCTCTCCGCCCACCAGTTGTGGGGTCTTTGTGGCGTCTTGTGAACAGCGGGGAGTCAGGGTGGGTCCAAGTCCACTTGGCCTGCTTTGCAGCCCTACAGATTCTGTATGGGGAGGGGCGGGTCCCAGGAGTCCACCAAGTCCTGCGAATCAGCCAATAGGGTGTTGAGACTGAGAGGCCTGGGGACCTAGTCAACTGCAGCTGGTCTCAACTTATCCAAGAGAGGACAGCTGATATCACAAAAATTTTAGTGAGAATCATGGGGGACAGTGTGGGGAGACAGGAGCAGGCAGGCCTGGACCCCATTATTGATGCCCCCACCACAGAGAAAATGCTCCGCTACACCCTGTCAGAAGTAAGGAGTGTCGGGACAGCCCTACTGCCCCAACCCAGGCCTCCATAGCGTCTTGTCTTGAAGCCCCAGCCCATCATTGCTGCTCATCAGTGCCTTTTGCCTTTGAAAGCATTTATTTTTTATTTTTAAAATGTTTATGCTTTAGATTCCCTCTACCCTTGGGCTTCGAACCACCATACCCTGATGTGAATCTAAGGCAATAAGGGTGAAGCCCCTCAATTGGGTGTGAAATGGAAATTATGGAGCCAATAACAGGTGACACTTCTATAGTGTTTGGTATGTGCACCAATTTGACTCTGGTCATACTTTTGTATCAGTCCTATAGGGAGGCCTCATACTGTGGTTCACTGTTCTGGAGTGTCATCCAGTCTCCTCATCTGATTCCTACTGGCAGGTCATTTCTTCCCTCTGAGCCTCAGTTTCCACATCTGGGGAATAGGGCACCATTTGCTTGCATGGGTGTCTGGATGCTTGAGAGTAAAGATGGCATGTCACCTGCCATGTCTAATATATGACAGATCTTGTATCATTGAGCTGGCAGGAGGGTAGGGAAGGAGCTGCTGTGACTGGGCCTTCCTGTGGGTGATCAGATAATAAGTATGACCACTCGTTATCACAGGAGACACTTACCGGGGGCTGGTTTTTCTGTGCCAAGCACCAGCCTAAACACAGTAACTACAAGAATTTATTGGATACTGGCAATGACCCTGTGAAGCAGCCAGACTCATCCCCATTTAGAGATGAAGAACAGGCACAGAGAACTTAACTAGGCCCGAGTTCAAAGCAGCTGAGTTGAGATTTGAGACCAGGGAAGGTGGCTTTGAAATTCTGTGTGCCTAACCACCTCTCCTGAGCTCTGTTTGTGGGAGCCTTGGGGATGGGGATGCTGGTATCTAGGTGCAGACATCTGGGAGAGGGGCATTTGCTGGGTTCTTTAGCTTCTCAAACCTGTCACTCGCTGGGGCCCAGGACCTGGCCAGCTTTAGGAGAGCAGCATGGGTGATACTTTTCAAACTTCATGTGCACCCAAATCAACTGGCTTTGAGTGTTTGCATATTTGGACTCTTGTTGGGACGTCTGCCTCTGGTCTACAGACACCTGTAAGAAGCAAGGCCCTCGGATGTGGCTATCCCATTTGATAATCATTCCAACAAATGCTTCCCAAGAACTTTCTGGGCACTGGAGAAGGAGGCGAGGGTGTAGATGTATGTCCCTTATCACTCTTTGTTCCCAGGAAGCAGGGCTAGAAAATCCTGTGGTCCTCAGGTGTTATTTGTCCTGGAGGGCAGGCCTGACCACACACCATTTCTGTAATTATAACAATGGCTGTCCTGTGAGTGGCCTTGGGTACCCTCTGGCAATTTTTCCTCAGAATTCTGGATGACCAACAAGGCAGATGTCTTCATCCCCATTTATAGATGAAGAAACTGAGACCTATAGAGATGAGGGAACTTGCCCAAGGCTACACAAAATCTGAGCACCTTGAAGCTATAGACTGGCATGAAGCGCCCAGGCTGCGGAGGGGCTATGCTATCTCTTCCCCATGCAGAGGGATTGGGACTACCTGAAGCACCAGTGTGCTTTTTCTTTCACACACTTAAGTATCTACTCAGTATCAGGCACAGTTCTAACTGCTTTGCATATGTTAACTCATTACATGCTCACATAGCCTTACATATGAGGAAACTGACTCAGAGAGGGGAGGAACTTGCCAAAGTCACACAGCCAGAAAGCAGCAAAGCTAGATTTGAACCCAGATGGACCTAAAATCCAAGTGAATGCTATTAACTGTTTTCTGTTTTGCTACATTGTCATCCCCACTTTGTAGGTGCGGGGGGTGGGGTGGAAGGAGGAAGGAGGGTGTGGGCAGAGAAATTAGAATCAGGGTGGCAACTTGGCCTTGCACTTGAGATACACCAGGGTTGAATACCTGCCTCACCATTACATCCTCAGATAGGCAAGTCCTGAACCTCAGCTACTTCTTCCATAAAGTGGATTGAAAAATACCAATGTCTTTCTGGGCTTGGGAGCACATACCTGTAATCTGGCTTTAGGAGGCTGAGGCAGGAGGAACATAAGTTTGGGGCCAGCCTGGGCAAGTTAGTTGATCCCCAGTACCAAAAACAAAAACAACAACAACAACAAAAGCAAACAAACAAAAAATCCAAAACACAATGTCCTGGGGTTCTTGGGGAAAACTGAGGTGCCAGTGTTTCTTCTGCAGTGATTGGCAGGCCCTCGGGTGTGTGTGTCCTAGCTGTAGGGTCTTTAGAAAGCCTCCCCACCCACAGAATGGCACTCCTTTGTGACCCTGTGAAAAAGCCTCTGATTGCTCTTGTCTTGGTTCTCAGTGCCTTTCAGTAACCAGAGCCACCTGTCAGAACAAAAAGGCCACCAGGACAGCCAGCCTACTATGGGGATGGTTGCTGGGAGGAGAATGAAGGAGACTGGGTTTCATTAAAGCCTTTTGTTTGACAGAAAAGGACAAGGACTGGAGAGGGGAATTGACCTGTGGGTACACAGGGAGGCAAGGAGGCCAGCCAGCCTCATGATTCCACCTCCAACCTCAGCATGGTGTGGTGGGGGAGCTGGGAGGACTTGTCCTCCCGCCCAGGCATTCTGAGATGATTTCTATCTTGCCCCTCTCAGGATGCTTGGGTGGGAGGACAAGTTGGGGAAGGTGACAGTATGGTCTGACCTTAGACCACAGTGGTATGGGGGAGCCCAAGGTGAAGTTTGATGGTGCTGAGGGAGGTTTACCCTCACCCCTAAGTGCACCAAGGTCCCAGAGCAGCTGTGGGGGCAGATAGCCACTGTGGTTTTGGTGCCTGTAATCTGGCTTTAGGAGCTGAGGGAGGTAGAAGAGCTGAGGATTTGATCTTGAGCCCTAGACAGGGCCTGGGTTGCCCAGGTCTGAGTCCTGATCTCCCATTTATTAGCGAGGGAATTTGAATAAGCTACTTCACCGTGCCTCCGTTTTCCCCGTAAGATGGGAATTTTACCCACATGCATCTCACAAACCTCAAGCCTGGGCTCAGCATGGACGCCAGGGCTAGCTGCTGTTGATTAGTGAGCAGCAGCAGCAGCTGCAGCCTAGTTGTGAGTCGTGCTGCTTGACTTTCCCATGGTATACCCAGCCCTGGCCTCGCAGGGTGCGGGGGGCTTGTTGCAGCAGTGAAAACTTTTGGATTTAGGGTCAAAACAATTTCTGGCCGTGGTATCCATTAGTCTCTGACACTCATCAGTCTTATGTTGATCTCTCTGAGGCTCAGTCTGGTCACCGAAAAAGTGGGAGTAACTGGGTCATTTCTAGGCTATGGCCCCACATAGTTTCCCTTAAGCAGAAAGCACATCTTGCCATCTGGGAAACCTCTGGGGAGGCTCACGGCAGCAACAGAGAGCTCAGCCAGGCTGCAAGGGACTGCTCGGCCAGCACCTTCTACTCTGTATCTAGCAGCTGCAGAAGCCCAAAGTGGGCTGAGCATGAAGGGCTTCCTGGAGGAGGCAGGGCTGAAACTGTGTGTGGACCCAGGGCTGCTGTCTCCTGAACTGCCCCCCCAAAAAAAAAATTCAGTTGAGAGACCATGGGGGCATGAGGCACTGACCCCTGGCACCACCCAGCTTGTTGTCAAGAACAGAGTTGGGAAGAAAGGGCTTGTAGCTGGCAGTCGGCACCTGGGGCTCATCTAGGTTCTGGCTGCAGTGCTGAGGTCCCCAGGGCTGGTCAGGCCCTGACTGGATTCTTTGCCAGGCCCAAGGTGGGAAGTCAGTCCCTTCCTTACAGCAGAGAGAGGACCCAGCATTGCAGACGTGGCACAGGGGAGGAGATGGCAATCACTGGTTCATTTGAGCATGTTCTGTAGAGCCAGGTGCTGTGCCAGCACTGAGGGTACAGCAAGACGACACAGACAAGGTCCCTGCCACGGAGGGGGTGGGGAGACAGATGTGTTATATAAATGAGCCAAAGATCAGCGGATGAGAACAAGACAGAGTTGTTTTGGGGTAGGGGGAGGG